GACCACTTAACCAAATGTTTACAAGAAGAAAAAAAATATATATATTAAAAATCAACGCGATTCTTTAGCACCTTAAAACTTGCACATTATTGCCCTGGAATTTAATTCAAACAAATTCTGAAAAATCTAAATAAAAAGTTGAAAATCTGGCTGATAATTTGCAGATTTTTTATAATTTTTGCACAAAGTTTGAAATGTGGATTTATATTTTGTTTGTTATATAATGAGCTAGGCTTTTATGGAAAAATAATAAACATTAAATAAACAAAAAAGAAACAGCCGAAATCGATGACTTAATCAGCTGATCACAAGTGTATGTATGAAATGATTTTTATATTAACGATCTCAAACCAGTTTAGAATGAATTTTAAATGTGACAGCAAATGACATTTCAATATACCTTACGTACATATGTTCCTTTGTATACAATGAAAGTTTAATAAGAACAATTCTTTGTGCATACATTTGAAAAAGACGTTTTGGGTAGAAAATGACGTTTTTTCAGACCAAGAGGGACGTTTTCTCATGCCGAAGACCTGGCAACACTGCCCATAAGTGACTCTGCAGAAAACGTAATAAGAAAAAGGCTCGAAGAAGATTAAAATGGAAATGATTTACAAGACGATCTCTCGGATTGCGCGGGACTTTTTCGTGATTGTATTTCTGAAGTATATTCCGACGATGTGGATGCCGATTTTATACCAAGTGACCATAGCACCGCCGCGGAATGCTCCGATAGTGATAACCAATACGGGAAGCTTACATTCTCTGCGTTTGTAAAATACCATTTTTGTCTTACATATACCAGAAATGTATATGGGTAGAGAGCTTCAGGGCAGTGACTTTACCTGCTGCACGTTTCGTTATTTTGTACGATGAGTAAAAATTTTAATTTTTAATTCTGATCACCTACATATCGTCGTTTAAAGTACAAAACCGCGTATCGTCATTCTGCAAAACCGCGTAACTGACATTGGCTGCCAAAAATTGGATTTGCTCACACAATCTATTGGCTCAATCCTTATCCGTTCGTCCTGAAATATACTAGCCAGAAATGCGATTGCTTTATAAAAAAGAAAACCATTTTGAAATATGAGTGTTTTTACACTCTAGAAAATAATTTCTACAACTTCACACACGCGGTTTTGTATTTTGCTGATACGCGGTTTTGTATTTTGTTGATACGCGGTTTTGCACTTTAAACGACGATATGTTACGTTTAAATGTAAGAAGTTTTCGTTTTGCTATTTTTTCCATTTTCTTTCATTAGACTTAAAGTCTTAATTTTTTAGCTTCTCCACGTTAGCAGGAAAGTGACGTTTAAGCTTTATTAATTCTTTGATTATTTTCTGTTGAAAGAGCTTAAAATCTGCCTTTAAGTAGAAAGAAATAATTTAAATAATTAATGTCTTTTGTATTTTTTGAGAATATAAAATGTGAGTCCTGAGGACTCAGGGTGGTGGTTTAACAAATTTTTGTTAGGGGGTGCGATTAAAGGTTAAAGTTTTTGTTGAGTCCCGTGGACTCAGGGAGTGTGATTAAGGGTTAAAGGAAGCTTAGATTGGGAAACAAAGCTGGAGATTGTACAAATACTTTGTAGTAGTTCTTGAATAAACTTGACGTCAATTGTTGAATGCAGTTAATTAATTAGGTAATAATTTGGTATAGCAAAACAGGGGACGCTTTCCGCTTTGAACACGCCGTTAAAAAACGCTCAAATTACTTTGATAGACGATTTCCATATTTTAATACCCAGTAATAATTTAGGAGCGTGCATTCCTTCTTCCATCTTTTCTATTTTTTATGGAGCGGTACAAATTGAAGGGCTTTTGTAGGACAAACTTCAGAAAGCATTTCGGAGGAGTACTTTTTAGGCTGCTTTTTCGACATAACTTCCACGAGGCCGTGACATAAGTTCCATCGATATATTTTTGGTCCAAGGAAGTAAACTCAGACATTACTTCAAAGATCTGTTTCGTGGAAGATATGTCAGAAATAAGTTCCATGATAATTTTGTATTAAATAAGCCGCTCACCGCACAAATTGACTAAGTCCACTTTTTGAAAAATCTTAAATTTAAATATGTTCTTTTTTTAGAAAATTTTGAATGTGCATCACTTCCGCTTTACAGCTTCCTATTAACCGGCTTTTCTTCCGTTTTCTTTCGCTTCTAACCTCTGAAGATGGTGTTAATTCTATCAAATTTTTCCCAGTTATGAATGATTGTTATCAGCCGCGACTCAAGAAAAGAAGACAAACTATTTGGCGGTATTCTGACATCTATAAAGCCTCTATTTTATTGTTAAAGGATCAAATAAGTATTGAGTATTTTGTTATGAAAAGTGGTTTTAGAGAAGGCTACCGAGCCGACTTCTTTAGGAAATGAAGACAAAGACGAATTCGACAATGAAATTGAGGAGGAATTGAACGATGACTTAATCTAATTTTCCAGGTAAATTGGAATGTAAACACTTCCGACGAGCCTCAAGAAGTCTCAAAATGTGCATCAATTGTAAAATAAGCCCGCGCGAATTTGTATTTATTCCCGGTGGTCATTTAATCTTTTGTGAATTCTGTCACAATCCTCCAAAGATTAAAATATCCACAAAAGCCAAGTAAATATTCAAAGTCTTGTTTGAATGAGAATATTATTTATCCTCTCTGGCGAACAAATTTTTGCGGAACTAAGTCATGATATAACTTACATGAGATTTTCCTGGAAATTTCCTTTAATGGAGTTGAATGGCATCTTTTGTTTGCGTTGATTGAATCATTGCCATTTTTAATTCGAAAAGATAGCACGAGCTTGTTTACAATCCAAACCTGACAATTCGTTCCAAAATACACTATCAGGTTTGAAATGGAACGACATACATACTTATTTATGTATTGTATGTACAATTGTACTTTTTCAGATTTTTTCAGGTTTCACGGTAAAGTCGATACAAATTTACCATTTCAGGATCTTACGTTTAGAATATATGTAGCAAAATTAATTTTCTAAGAATTCTTGCATTTTTTATTGACATTTCATAAAATCGCTCACACGAAACCAACAAACTTCGTCGCCTTTTTCCTTTCCAAAGTTTTTTGTGGAAGACCAGCTGCATATTTTGTGCTTTATTCTGCGCTTGATTAAAGGCTGGCATTAATTGTTTATGCTGAGTTCTATGTGCATACATGATTAAAAAAAGTCATTCACAACTTAAATAAAAGTCGTACTTTGATGTAGAGATGGGTCCGGGCCGGGCTTTTGGTATGGGCTCGGCGGGTACGGGTCGGGAAAATTTTACTTGGGCACGAGCTCGCGCGTGCACTGGTGTGGAGTGAATATTCGGTTAGGAAACCACCCCCTCCCAGAAATGGGTTGTGCGCTGGGTTTGAATAATAATAATAAATTGGCGCTTACACATATGTTAGTGTTTGGCCGAGCTTCTCCTCCGACTTGTGGCGTGCGCCTTGATGTTGTATGTATTTTTATGAGAAGCTATTTTTCAAGGCAGAAATACACTCGGAGGTTTGCCATTGCTTGCCGAGGGACGACCGCTGTTAAGAAAAAACCTTTTTCTATATTTTTTGCGATGTTGCTTAGACCAGGGCTTGAACCCAGGTGCTGATGAGTGAAAGCGCGCACTGCTTACCACTACACCACAGCGGCCTTATAAGAAGCTACATAACCCCAAGTAAAAAAATTGGCTTTATGTCTCTGTATAAGGAGTGACATAATTCCACATTTTAAAATTGGAGTTATGTGCTGGTACCCATTTAATGACTGGGCCCACAGTTTGTGTGAGGTTTGGCCGTTATAGCGATCCATCACTCCCCATATTTTATATTTAAGGTTTTCTAATAAAAGGAAGAGTACAAACTAAATTTCATCGAAATCGGATGAAATTTAAGCCAACTTTTTCTTCACTTCTTCACTTCTTATAAGGTGTCATAATCCCAATTGGGATAGTGTCACTTTTGATCCTAAAGCATAATTTCCAGCTTTCAAGAAAAACAAAAAAATCATATATAAACACGCCCACTAAATGAATAAGAAATTTTCTATTAAACTTTCATCTACGCAAAAATACTTACTTCCGCCGCTCTTTTCTGGAAACACAGAAAGGAGAATTCTATTTAGTGAGGGTTATAATTCTTAAGCGCAGCCGAAGGGCTCCTACGCAGAAAGAAGTTCAGCACAAAAATACTTCCGCCCCTCTTTTCCGGCAACACAGAAAGGAGAACTATATTTAGTGAGGGTTATAATTCCTAAGCTCGGACGAAGGCCGCCTACGCAGAAAGAAGTTCAGCGCAAAAATACTTCCGCCCTTCTTTTGCGGCAACACAGAACGGATAATTCTATTTAGTAAGGGTAACAATTCCTAAGCGCGGCCGAAGTCCGCTTACGCAGAAAGAAGTTCAGCGCAAAATGTCGCACGAAAAGATCCAATTATAAATTCTAAAACTAAATAATAAAATCATGCGTCTAATTTCAAGACCCGACGGACCGGTACTCACACTTTTTTTTTACTAATAATCATTAACATCTACATTTCAAAGTGTTAAAAAGTAGGAAAATACCAAATAAATGACAATTAGCTTCACCTGAATATTCCACGACACTTAAATAATTAATTACAGTTGAAAAAAGAACACTTGCTTTAATGGGTTCAGCGCCAAAGGCAATTAAATTGATTAGTCGGTACCGCACCAGTATTTTTTTATTTTTTTTAATGTACAGTTCGTGGATAGGAGATGAGTAAATGATGTGAATGTTTGTATTTATGACTTTCACTTTTCCCTCTCTAAGCCCAATTGGGTTTTTATTAACTGTCACCATGTCACATAATTGAAACACTGTGCGACGCCCCTTTTCGATACTTTTATATTTCATATTATTTTACTTTTCGCAATTTTCTATTTTTAAAGTACTTAGTTAAGTATTGCACACAAATTTGTTTAATTACATACAATCTTGTTAACCGTTTTCTTACTTGATTTAATCATTTTAGTTACAAAGGAGATTTTACATGGCATCAATGGCGCCTTCCGTGCTGGAGAACTAACCGCCATAATGGGTCCGTCAGGCTCTGGAAAGAGTACACTACTCAACGTAATGACAGGCTTCAGGTATGAATTTATGAAGCTTCATACTTATTTCATTAGGGTGGTCCAAACTAAGTAAAGCTGGAATTTGTATGCTCTCACCGCCTAAGACTGGTTTATACCGAAACATTTTTCTATTTTGAAATCCAAAAATATTTAGAAGTCGCTCAAAGCGCTCAAACTTTTCCACGTATTTTATGTCAGAAAAACCACTTTTCGTACAAATGGTATAGAATTTTTGAAATGATTGTTTTTCGACCGGAAAACTGAGATTTTCTTCACGAGACTTCCAATAACAATTTTTATTTATCCCTCATTGCATCTTCTGGCATTTTCTTAGGGGTTTGGCGGATCTGTAAAATATAGTTACTATGAGGAAAATGGTTAAATAAATAATTGGGTATTATTATTGGAAATCTCCTGTTTTTTTTTTCTCATGTAAAGTACATGGAAAACTTGGAGCGACTTCTAAATATTTTTTGATTTCAAGATAAAAAATAGGGTTATATTTTTTCGGTATAGAACAATCCTAGGGGGTGGGAGCATAAAAATTCCGACTTTACTTTTTAACTTGCATTTTTGCACCACCGTTATGTATGTACATATGCACATATTCACATTTGTATGCAAAATTTAAATAACATAAAATTTTTTTTCTTAATTGATATGCAAAACCTTTTATGTTAACTGATATTTATAAAGTGTAAGTGCAATAGCTGTTTACACTTAAATTGTCGCTATGTGCACTAAGCAACATTTCATTAAAAATTGTAAGTATAAATTACAAGAAATGTCGGTATGGTATAGAAAAGTTTCAGGATACGGTACTTTGCGTTAAAGACTCAATATTTTAATTGTAAGTAGTGCCATACAGTCGGTAAGGTTACGTAATTTTACGTCGTCTCCGAATGAAAGCTTTTTCAAATACACTCGGAGGTTTGCCATTGCCTGCCAAGGGGCGATCGCTGTTAAAAAAAGTGCTTTTTCTAAAAGTGCCGTTAGTGCCAAATAATTTTTAAGATATACATAACTACACATACATACATATCGCTAGCTTAGAGTGAAAAGTTGCTAAGCTCATCTTTAAAAATTTTACAGGAGCGGGAAAAATTTACTACAGCAATTTTCTTTAAGTATTTTGCAAGACATCGAATACAACATTTTGCGCGTTTAGAGAAAAGCAAAACTCCATGCGAACCAGAAGGTTTTGCCGTTATTTTAAAGATTTTTTATTACATTAGCCTGCCTGGAAAAAAACAAGTACCTCAATTAATTTGGAAATGCTTCCTTCATTAAAATATGAGTTCTCACAAAAAGTGGACTCAGCAACTTTTCAACCTAGCGATATCGAACCCATAACATTACTCACTAACTACCTAAAAGAATTTAAAAACAATTAAATCATTAAACTAGTTTCAGTGTTTATTAAAACACTATTTCTAAAGAAATTTTTAATTGAAGAGCTTGTTTGTATAAAGTTTTATAAATATGCTGTGAAGAAATAAAAATATTAGATAGGGCCTTTCTATATGTATATCAAAATAAATTAATTGTAATTTAAACTTAACAAGTAAGAAAGTCTAAGCAAGCATAAATTTTGAATAAATTAGCTTTAATATTTACTGATTTATCGAAGATTTTTTATTTCTCTAAATTACCGTTATATGGGATGTGGGCGTGGTTATTGTCCGATTTTTTAAATTTTCGGCCATTTAGTATGCTGTACCAAGGCCAACAACTGTGCCAAGTTTGGAAGAAATTGGTGCAGCGGTTACCAAGATATACACATGTAACCATAAGTGGGCGTGGCTACGCCCATTTTCCAAAAATTTATAATATTCTTATTTTTCGTCTGAAAAATATTGTAAATATCAATTTTGAGTGAATTATCTTCAGTCATTACTAAAATATCGCAGTTTTCGTATTTCTGGAAATTACCGTGATATGGGAAGTGGGCGTGGTTACAGTCCGATTTCGCCCATTTTCAATACCAACCTACCTTGGATTAACGGAAACCTACGTACCAAATTTCGTTGAGATATCTCAATTTTTGCTCGAGTTATCGTGTACACGGACGGACGGACAGACGGACGGACAGACAGACATGGCTAAATCGATTTCTCTATTCATTCTGAGCATTTATGTATACATTTGTCTATATCTATCTCGATTCGTTTTGGCTGTTACAAACAACCGTTATGTGAACAAAATTAATATACCCTTGTGCACAAGTGCGCTCGGGTATAAAAATACATATGTACGTATAATTTTGATTTTTGTTGACCAGTGTCATCATTTCCATTCTACCTTTTACTCTCAATAATAAAAAAAGCTCCCAACAATTTAATGCACTTATAAAGACATTAACATTTATGTACATACACATGTATTTTAATGGAAATATATAATTTTATTGATTACTTAGTAAAGTGGAAGAGGCGATTTGGAATTCAATTACAATTATTATGAGAACAAAGTATTACAAGCAATGTGTTTTTAATGGTCAATAGCCTTTGTTTACGATTCATTAACTTTTATGAGCAAGGAAATTGACTAATATCAAATATTGTAAATTATGACAAATTTTCAAATTTTTCAGAAACATCGTCATTGGTACAATAATATTTGCCCTGCAAGCTCACTTGCGAAACAAGTTTGAAGATTTGAAAAGTTACCTTAAAAGGACTAACGTGTTAGCCACGACCTAAAAGCAGAGAAAGTCGTCGATTGTTTCTTTACTTATAACCTGATTTCTTAGTGGTATTACACTGGATATTTTTCTATTGATACACACTTTCAGTACCCGGATATTTACCTAATTGCGGGTATGAACACATTTGAATAACGAATAATCTGATACGCCGGATCTAAATAGCCAAATTTGCTAGACCCTAGATATGGATCCGTCTGAAGAGTTAGAGCATTAAAATTTATTCATACAGAAACCGAACAAGAACATGATGTCAGATTTTGTCAATTACAGTCCTAAAGATGGTTTCTGGGGAAGAAATTTTGTCTGGTCCTCTTTATCTCAGTAGCTTGATTGAAAAGAAATTGTGGCAGCAAAAAGGAAATTAGCTGTTAGCTTAATGCACTTCAGATGGTAATAAAAGTTCATTTAGCGGCCACAGCTTCACTCACCGAACAGAAAGGGCAGGAATAATAGCTTAAGTACATACATACATACGTATACTGAAAATAAAATTTCGTAAAAGTGCTACGAAAATCTTTCGTAGTGTTGGTTTTTGTACAATGTACGAAACTTTCGTTCATAATACGAACACATTTTTCACAACGAAACAAGATTTTACGATCCATACATAAATATAACGTAAGGACTTTCGTAAGGCATTTTTGCAGTACAATTTACGAAATCTTGCGTTTATTTTACGAAACACATTCGTAAAGCACTGAACAAATCTCTGTACGAATAATTTTGTATATCGTAGGAAGGTATTCGTAAGATTTACGTATGGTTTTAAATTTACGAAATCTACAATTCTGTATTCGTACAATTTAGTTAATAATTTCGTATAAAGTACTAATGCAGAAACATGTTTTTTAAATTCGTACAACATACGTATATTTTCGTACAATATACTCAATTACCGGCAGTTTAATATTTCATCATATTTTTTGTATCGCGTGTCATTGCGGAATTAATTGTTGGCTGCTGTGAAACGTATAATATAATTTTAAACGTTTTAAAAAGGGATTTGCTGAATAAAAAAGCAATACAAAATTCAATATTAAAGCTGTGGATATACTATGCTTTTAAGCATACAATGTTTTTAGCATCGCCTACGCTGCGCCTTGCGCTGCAATGTGGGACTTGATAAATAGGCAATTTCATCAGTTACCTATCAACGGCAAGCCTAAGCCAGGAGCACTACTTAATGAAATTAAAAGTAAGTACATGTATGACTTTTCACTGAAACTTGCTTTTCAGACGTCTTATAATTTTCCTTTAATTTATAGTCGTCAAGGAAACAAACATCAATGAAGCTGAGAATCTGTCAAGTGCCTCTACATAAAAATATTATAATGTTTAAGAA